TGTGTAAGAAGTGTAAGAATGGGACATGGGGGAGTGTGTAAGAATGGGACATGGGGGAGTGTGTAAGAATGGGACATGGGGGAGTGTGTAAGAATAGGACATGGGGGAGTGTGTAAGAATAGGACATGGGGGAGTGTGTAAGAGCGAAGTAGGGGAAGTATGGGGGGGTTCGCCATCTATGCTTCGGGGGGGTTGTATGCTGTATATGCTCAGGGGGTGTGCACCCCTACTCTCTGGAGGTGTATGTCCTCTGTGCTCAAGGCAGCCTCACAGGTAGCCGGGTAGAGTTATTTGTAGGTGTTTCGCTCAGTGTTTTACATTTTGCAGTAGTTTGCTTAGTGCTTTTTACCTACAGTGTTAAATTGTTTAAGGTGCTTTGTGAGAATACTTTTAGTCAGGAGGGGGGAGGAGGTAGACATGGTGGTGGAGAACCAAAATAAAAATGCAAGGTCATTGGTGGTTGGTGAGAATGAACGGATCACACCAGGATGATTAGCTACGAATGAGGGACAGGTGGAATGTACCAAGTGGGCTAACCTGTGGACATCCACCCGCCCCCCAAAACACGCTCATTCTACACTTCTGAAAGCCTTAATATCAGCTGCGTCTTAAATTACTCACAATGCTGTCAGTCCCATTCCCTCTTCAGATACAGTGAGATCCACAAGGCTTTCAGAAGTGCACCAGTCCGCATCCCGTCCGCTCATTGGCCCGAAGTAACGCATGCGGTCGTTTTGAAAGTGGAACAAAGGTTGAAAGTCACCCAGCTCGCCGGAGTGGTGGGCGTGATGAAGACAGCAAAGGATGGCTGTCTTGGCCCCCCCCTTCTCCCTCTCTCCCTCACCCCCCCTCTTGTTTGGCACTTTCCAGTTGTGCCAAGGTAGCAGTGAGCCAGGCCTCTCAGCCGCCTCCTCCATCTGGTAGAGGGAAAGGGGTTGAGGAAGAGGCCAGATCTCTGGGTTATTGCACTGGGCTGCGATTCCTGGATCGCAGACAGCCTCCCCGCTCTAAGTCGCTGGTCAGGGACCGAGAAGGTGCTGATGGAACATGCCGGAAATCGCAGTTTCCAAGGTCAAACGGGACTTCGGACGGATGGTCGGTCGGTCGGACTGTCTGTCTGTCACTTCCTCCGTCTGTCTGTCCGCTCATGTCGATCTGCTCGTCCTCATATTAACTCCAATTTGCTTGTTATTCCTGAGCAGCCACCGACCCTGAGGATGTCACGGTGGTGGCAGCAGCAGGCTTACTTAGCGGTCCGCTCTAAATGAGCCGGGTGCCCATCGCCTCCTCTGGAGGGGGATGGTGATTTGCTCACGAGATGCTGAGGGCGTTTTTTTTTTTTTTTTCCCTCCCCCTTTCCGGGCGTCCTGCCTGGGTCCGTCTTAATTAGCCGAGTCTCCAGGACACTGGGATACGGTAACGGGTCTATTAACAAACTGTATTTAAGTCTTTGATCTCTTGTTTAATTACTCAACAGCACAGACGTCGGACGGGAATATCTTTGGCGTTTTAACGTCTCCCGTTCATTTCTTGTTCATCTGCACTGTAACACTTAAAGAAGTTTACAAGTCCACAAACCTTATTTATTGCCTTATTTTATTATTATTATTATTATTATTAACTTTTGCAATTTAGCTAATTTGATGGCGATAGATTTGCAGTAGTTTTTAGCATCTTAAACTGGCAAACTCCCCCCTCCACCCCCCCACTCCACCCCCCACACACGATCCACCGCGGCTCCTTAGCGCCGTAGCGCGGCCCCTCCATCTCGCTCTCCATCTCGTTAAGAAAGCTGGCAGCGGAGTTGGGCTGCTGGCATCTGGAGGGCTCCAACGGGGAGTTGAGGTCACCGGCACCGGATAGCGACGGGAACTCGGGGAAGAGGGGAGCGTGGCTGGCCCCCTCGGTCTCTGCCAGGAAGAGGGGTCACATGACCTCTGGGGCGATCCCACCCCCGCGCAGGTAGGAGCGGGTTTGTTTGGGCTCAGCGGTGTCGTCCCAGGCTTTGGCAGCCTTGTCTCTGACCCGGTCCTGTTTGGACGCCATTGATTGAGTTGTTTTCCCTCGTCTGCGTGCCCTTGCTCGTGTAACCTACCACTGATTTTTCTCCTTCCCTGGTTTTTTTAAACTGCGCCTGCTCGGCTTTCCCCTGCCGGGCGTCTCTGAGGGCCATCTCCACAGCCCAGGGGCCTCGGGCGGTCCAGGTGGACTGGGCGACTGCCCGGTCCGCCAACTCCATACCAAACCAGCCGGCCCTGCACTCAGCTCATCACCAGGCCAGTTTAAGATGGATGTTTATCAGCAGTAGCAGGGTCTAATCCAGCAAATTTAAAACGGATGAAGATTCAGACTCTGTGGGACTGAAGAGTGTGCTTAATTTGTTTTCATCTCTAATATTAATATCCATTTTTTTCTCTTGAGCATTTGTCTCATTCTTGATGGATTTTTATATTAAAATGTAATTATGCATATTTGCATGTACCAATATAATAATAATAATAATAAATAATTAAAATATAATGGTAAATATAAAATTTATATTTACCATCAGTGTTCAGTTAGAAACAGGTGCTGGTACAGATTCAAGAAATGCTACGCTAACTGACCATTAGCCATCTCCTTCGCGATACCATAGCATCGTGCATGGCATCAACATGACCGATTGATTCGTTTGATTCCAATGAGTGATTCAGCCTTGCTCCCCGTGGTAGGATCACATGGCCTGCTGCCCCTGTCACTTCGGCCATCTTAGCATATTCCCTTTCCTGGATTCTTATTGGGCCTTTCAGGTGGCTTGTTGCGGTTCAGAATGTGGGTGTGTGTGGTTATCATAACCTGGAATAGAACATTAAATAGACTATCTAAGGATAAAATACAGCTTGTTGTCTTATTAACGAGGTATGCCGTTCAACGACAGCCTATGGTCCTTGTCTCCTCATTAATGAGGTAATGTGGATCCATCGATGTCCATGGCCATTATGTTGTAATTAATGAGATAATGCGGTTCTATGGCAGTCTATGGTAATTCTGTCATCATTAATGAGGTAATGTGGTTCTATGGGAGTGTATGGCTATTTTGACACCATTTATGAGGTAATATGATTCTATGGGAGTGTATGTCTATTTTATCACCATTAATGAGGTAATGTGGTTCTATGGGAGTGTATGGCTATTTTGTCACCATTAATGAGGTAATATGGTTCTGTGGGAGTGTATGGCTATTTTATCACCGTTAATGAGGTAATATGGTTCTATGGGAGTGTATGGCTATTTTGACACCATTAATGAGGTAATATGATTCTATGGGAGTGTATGACTATTTTGTCACCATTAATGAGGTAATATGGTTGTATGGGAGTGTATGGCTGTTATGTCATTATTAATGAGGTGATGTGACTCTATAGGAGTGTATGGCAGCTTTATCCTTAATGAGGTAAAGCTGTCCTATGGAAGTCCATGGTCATTGTGTTGTAATAAATGAGACAATGCGGTTCTATGGTCGTCTATTTGCCATTTTGTCATCATTAATTTTGTGGGAGTCCATGGCAGAACTGTAATCATTAATGAGGAAATGTGGTTCTGTCAGAGTCTGTGGTCACTGTATTATATTCTGTGACAGTAATGGCCTGTTTGTGGAGCGGTAGGTGCAGTATTGTCTAAAAAGCCATAGGAGGACCTAGCTGTGATATCCATGGAACTTAACCTGAATTACTCCGGAAAAATATTGAGCCGTGAAAATGAACAGAAACATCAGTTCAGCTGATGTAACGTGCTGTAACTGTTGGCCCAGTCTCTCCGACAGTGCCACCCTGCCGGGATCAGCCGACACACGATGCTCAACGTGCCGGACTTTCTATCCAAAGAGGCTGGATCCCTCCTGCAGCAGGTAGACTCAGACGAGTGCCTTCCGTCTTCCATACTTTTTGGGAATTGTGCAGACAGTAAAAGTCAAGCCTCATTTTACTCATGGGCTGAAATGGTTTAGGTGAGGAATGTCTGTTTTGAGAGGATTTTGTTTACAATAACCAGAATTATTTTCTTTTCAGATTTTTTCCCATATTTAACTAGGACAACAAAGTAGTTGATGTGTGTAGCAGGTTAAATGAAATCTTTGAATTGAGTTTTTAGTGAAAATTTGAGTCCAGAAGGACCCAGGTTTGGGTTCTTGTACCTGATGGCTTGCGTTCTCTTCGTAGCTCCTTCAGTTCAACCCCATGGAGAGGCTTGGCGCAGGCGTGGCGGGAGCTGAAGACGTAAAGTCCCACCCCTTCTTCGCCATGGCGACCTGGCCCAAGTAGCGTCCGTCGAGGATCACAGACTTGGCGGTGGGGGCTGGCGGGTCTGCCCCGGCACATCCTCTTCAGAACCGGCAGCTGCAGCACCGAGCTGAGCCTGGTCTCCAAGCGAACAAACATACTCCTACGAATGGGAACGGTGGACTGTCTAGTTCACCAATCACCCACCGTTTACATCCTGTCATATTTCATATACTTTACTTACAAGCTTATTTAATATTTTGTCTGCCAATGGATAAGTCCAATGTCTTCAGATGGCACTAATATTGTTCTCCTTTTTTAAGAACTTTTTTTTATAATTTGCAGTGTTTTTGTTCAGTGCATTTGCATTAGGTGTTTGGCATTGCAGCAAATGTTTACTTAGGTTTCTGGGTATCTTTAGCCATTTAGATGGAAAAAAATACACTTATATAATGTCGTGAAAACAGAGGAGGAAGATGTATCGCTGTGCAACAGGTGCCAAAGCACTGAACAAAGCATGCAAGACGGTGGAGAACATCCTGGCTCTGTGCCCCAACAGTGTGACCTTGACCTCTGACCTCTGACCTTTGGCCATATGTTGTTAACGTCAGTGTCTTCCTGGCTAGATGGATGTGCGTGCCAACATCTCGAGAAAGCCACTTGAATTCACTGTGTATCACGTGTCGCATTGACTCCTCAACCTCTGATCAGTACCTGCATTTCTCATACTAAGATGTACCATGTTTATACATTTATACACAGTTCATCATGTAGAACAGACAGTTGCCTCATGGTCTCGATTTGATTACAGCCCTTCATTTTGCCAAGATCACGAAAGGTTACGCTCTGAACAGAGACCCCCAGTAGTGTGTAACGCCTCATTAAATAAATGACAAGTCAGTGTTTCAGCCACTCAATTGGGATTCACTTATGTAAGCAGTTGTATGTCTGCATGCAAACCCTGAGTGAAACAAAAATCTCAAAATATTGTTACACTCTAATATATTATTTATTAGTGTATGGACCATCTTCAAGTTCTGTTGTTATGGTGTAGCCATGTGCAATTTTTTATTTTTTTTTTACTTTTTTGTTTAATTTATTTGTGAACTGTAGTATCTCTGTCCTCCGAAAGACACTGATGTCATGAGAGTGCTGAGCGGTTAATGATCTGATATTTCTAAATGGTTTAATATACAACACATCAATGATGGCAAGATGTTTGGATATCATGGAAATATCCAGCCTTGCCAAAAGAAAGCATGTGAAACTGGAGTGTGACAAGGCTGATGACCTCATTCTGTGGGCTGTAAACAGGAGAGGATTATGGGTAGGGGCTGAGCTTTGGATAAGCATATGTCAGTTTGATCATCAGATATCTGTATGTTCTGAAGTCATAGGAAACCCAGAAGTTTCTGTTTTGTCTTTTGGCGGTTGAGTGAAAATATGGAGTTTCTTAATTTGCAGCAGGTTTAGTTTATACCTTGTAGGATGTGCAAAACGCAGATACATGAAACATTGTAGTCACTTCCTGTTATCTCAAATTCAGGAAATGAGAAATCTGACTATAGCGTAATGTATGTGATTTATCATTTTCAGACCTGTATAAGCACATGTTGTGCAGGTCAGTAGCCCGCAATTGGATCTTGCTTATTCCACAGTCACCCAAAAACACTAAGGAGCATCACCTAAGTCCTCAGATCCAAAGCATATCTACAGAGTTTAACATTTCATATTTTAGTGCAATAACTTTTGTTCTTCCCTCTTTTATTTGTTTCAGAGACACTTGTGTATGTGGGTTTTGCTGTTTTGGTGCTGAATTGGATGTGATGACTTTAGACTGGGGGTGGTATTGATGGCACCAAGGCCAGTCTTTGACTTTCTTGTGAAGCTTCCAGTCCTGTCTTGCACCTTCTGTGATCTCTCCGGAAAGTTCTCACGTGTCATCGAGCTGTTCCCTTCACCCCTTCTGCTGGCCCCTGCATTGCAAGGACACACATTTTGGAGGCTCGGTAAGAGCCAAGGGGGGCTTGGGGGTCTTCCAGCGCCATGGCATCGCCACGGTAACGTGGGCATCAAGGGCAAAATGGCCATTTAAGAATTTTTCTGTGATATCATTGGACATGTTTGAACCTGTAGTAACACTGTGGTGCATCACTGCCTTGCAAGCTGACACCTTGTATTAAAATTGGCAAATGCACTTTGGGAGCTGATCCCATTGGTAACAATATATAGTACATCTCACATTCTTTTTGGGTCTCTGCTACTTACACTTAACGGAAGAAGTTTGTATACCCCGGTCCAAGTGCAGATCATTTTATCTATATAGCGGCAAGCGCGGATTCGGATCCAAGCATCCCACGTCCACGTAAAGGACCCGTCGTTTTTGTCCTCGTTCACCATTCATAACAAAACCGTGGTGTTCAACGTGAGCGTGGGCCCAGCGCATAGTGCACGAAGGACAACAAAAATTACGTTTTGTACGTGCGGCTGTACTAACCGTGTTGCACGGAGACTGTGTCAATAAAGTTTATGGATGAAGAAAGAGTGACTTGGCGGTTTGATTTGGGCTGTGTGCGTTTCAGTGAGAGTGAGCAGTGCCCCTCAAATCCAGACTCAGGACTCCACACGCTCCTCACTTCATTAGTAGATAGTAGTTATGTTTACCACCACTCACGCTATGCGTTTGCATGGGGCCCTAAGTGGCTCCCTATTGACCAGAAACAGTAACGGCACTTTTAAATAATTATAGGACTGATTGGCTGAAGATTCCTCACACCTGGGTTTGAACAGCTGACCTAAAGGTTATCCAGAAACGCAGCATAGACACCGGCCTGTGCTGTAGGGTGTGTGGCTGAGGGGGGGGGAGAGGGAGATACGGGACAGGGAAGTTTAGTATCATCACTCTAAATGCTCAGTGGTTGTCAGAATTGCTGCTGTTGATGTCCCGCATCTGAATGTCTGAACCTTCATTGGCCCCCGCCTGGCATCATTGGACCACTGTTGCTGGTGAAGAGCTTGGGGGGGGTGATAACAGGAGACATTTAAATGCCCCCCCCCCATCCTGGTCTCTTGTCTTTTTTTGCTCCTCCATCTGCACCTTTAATTGCATTCATTAGTCCATAATGACACATGGCATCCAGATCCCTCTCTGCCTGTAAGCGGCATGTGAAGACGGCACTGAGAAGCCCCAGCTGAACGCTCCAGGGGGGGCGAGGGGGGGGGGGACGTCCATCTGAAGGTCCTTTACAGCATGGAGCCTCCCTGTCCCTCCTCCCTCGGTCCTCTGCACCTCCACACCCGCTTGCTGGGTGGTGGAGGAGGTTGTTTTCAGAACTGAAGAAAGTTATTAGTTTAAATGATCATAATAAGTATTATTAATATTGCTGAGAAATTGTGTAACAACACAGTATGAAGGAGTTGTTGTATGAAAATGTAGAAAAATGTATAATATTTAAAATACATTTCACCACGATAATGGGACCAGGTTTGTGTGTTTAATCATCCTTGTTCGTTATTAATAGCCTGTGTACTTAAATCGCACCTCCTGACGAACGGTTAAATTAAGCAGACGGCTAACAGAATTAACGCGTAATAATCGTTGCTCCTGGCGAGACGCATCCGTGCAGAAATGCTCCGCCGGGCTTAGATCGCTCCCATGGTGGCCACGGGAATGCAGTCGGAGCCCGGCTAGGGCTGAAGTCTCCAAGCTAACGCTTACTCCTTCACGTGTGCGGCACTGATTAATTGCTTATTAAAACTTCATTAATCACCAATTAGGACATAAGTTATCCCACTTGTTAAGTGTAAATGGATGATTGTTCATTAAGGGTCCCGTGTAAGAGAATAAGTAAGGCGAATTGTCCGGCGTCCTTTCGTGACTTGCTGGTCGGCCATTTATCTTGTGTTACTTGCAGGTAACTTGGGGGTTTTTGCCATTAATCACCGGTTGTGGCTCCAGTTGAGTTAATTTTTACTTACTGGTGCATAATCAGGTCATTAGCAAATGCCAATTTCATTCTTTGGCTCCCAGTCTTTAATGTATTTAATATATCTCTGATTAAGAGGGACTAATTAGTCACTTAAGTACGGACAATGTTTTTCCTAAGTGTTTTCAGTTTCATGCTGTTCCACTGAAGTGTTATAAAGTGTGAACTCTAAGTAATCAGTCTTTCAGACAGGAGGGTTGCTTAAATTATTTGTGATCCACCGTGAAAAGCCTGATGAAATCCAGGAGCGAGCGGTCCAGGGGACAATCAAAGGGGTACTGTACCTCTAGAGGCACTGCCAGGATACAGGTTACTGACTGAACTGCATTCTGGAACACGAATCTGATCTGTGCCCTTATTTCCTGCCTCCTTTATGGACCTGATCACTCTGTTCTGGGCTATTCCCTCTCGCGGATAAGCCTGTCGGCGGGCTGGGTGACCTCTGTGTGGATTTGCAGCTGCTTAACGCTCTTCCCAAGGGGCAGCTCCATAGCCTAAGCATGGGAAGGCTTTGGTCTCCTTTGTGGTGATGTGGCTGGAGTGTGGCTCAGTGGGTTAAGATGCTGTGCCTGTTATCCGAAAGGTTGCCAGTTCAAATCCCAGAGTCTGTCAGATGATATCAGTGTTGAGCCCTTGAGAAAGACATTTAATCCCTAATCGCCCCAGTGACTGGCTGATCCTGATTTTTCAATAGTATGTTGGTTTAGATAAAATGGTCTGCTAAATAATTGTAATAATGGCAAAACGACAAATCCTGTTCAACCCTTATATTTGGATCTCTGTTCTCACTCTATGACTTATTCAGACGTAATGGAACTGCTTCAAAGAGAGAGAGGGGTAGCAGAAGGCAGGTGGGCCTGCCCTCTGTCCTCCTGGGAAGAAGGAGAGATGCTTCCTGATGGGCATCATGCCAGCACAGGTGCTGCTATTACCCAGAAGCCACTGCTCTCAGTCAGCATGCTCCACAGCAGAAAGCATCAAATCTTTGGTGTTCAGACCTCAGCCTAGTCCCCTCTTGTATGCCATCTACTCAAAGGCAATTATGCTTCCTAAAACGAGCATCCTAAAATTTTCACCAAAGTTTTGCCATTTTATTATGAATTTGCATAAATAATGTTGATGTTTGAGGTTTGTCTTAAAAGTACTGCCCCACTTGATGCTCCACAAATGATGCTCGTACCTTGCGGTTGCCATGACAGCTGCTTCCCTTCGTCTCTACATCACCTCCTCTTCTGACCGCCCTGATACCCTGAGATGGAGGTTACCTGTTATCTCGCTGTGGGTGGGTGTGATTCTTCCAGGGATGCCAGCGCTGAGGACGTCGGTCATACTATGTGCTGATCACATAATTAGAGAATCTTCCAGTGTTTGTTCCAGCAGATCTTGTTTTGTTTCGGTCTCAATACCCATGATGCCACAACAATAAAATCTGCAGCGATGGTAAAGTGTATAATGCCATCAGTACCCACATGGGTCACATTCAAGGGCCCCTGTAAAGAACTGCCCCCCCCCCCCCGAATCTGTCGGGGTCTCCATGCCACTGTTATGTGCCTGCGCCTGATCTCTGTCCAGCCCTCCCTACCAGTCAGACATCTCCTTCCCGCATCAAACCCCGAGGAACCTGCCTTCCAGCACCTGAGTTCCCGATGTACCGGTTCCTTCTGGGCTATGTGCAGCGTCGAGACAGGCAAATACCTGCAAGCCTGTGAGCCACTTGGGCCCAACAAAGTGAATGTAGTGTCATATAGCCAATGACAAAATTCACGCAGCCTGTATATGAAGGAGTTGTAATGGACCCCGTAGTTACACAGTCGTCATAGCAACCACGGTTATCTTGCTGAACGGACAGTTTACTACACGTGTCTAACCCCGCTAACTCGACGCTCTGAGCGCGTATCTGACCGAAAACTTCGGGCCGTCCGGAATGTTTCCCAGAAGAGACAAATCCGCCTCATAAAGTCCGTGTTTGTCCTCCTCTCATCCTAATAAGCTGCTGGCCGCAGCCAAGATGTCAGCAGCAGGGGGGGGGGGGTGTTTCTGGCCGCCGCACACCTCCGGGGCCCGAGCATGACTTTGAGCCTCGTTTCTGTTGCCGTAGCAGCACGGCTCCTCCTTCTGCAGCGTGGACTCCGTGTGCCTCGGGCACCTAATGCCTTTCAAGGGCCACCCCCCACCTCCTCCTCCTCCTCCTCCTCCCCCCCACCCCTGGAAAAAGGCAGGATTAATCTGTGTCCTCGGAGGCCCCCCATTTTTTGGCATGGCCGAGTCGTCGAGGCAGCTTGCCGGAGTAAGGTGACATTTCTCGGCATGCAAAGTAACGGCGGAAAATTCTTACGGGAGCTGGGAAGTTCCTCAAAGCCACAGCACCTTTTGACTTTGCTTGGAGTGAAACAGATGCTAACAGCCTTAGTTATGGCCTGGGCGGCGGGTCGGCGCTCGTGTGGAGGCGGAGCCTCCCCAGTGATGGGCTTCTCTGGGGCCACGGGCGGCGGCGTGCGACGGTGTCCTTCCGAAACGAGACGGGCCTGACAGGGCTGGTTATTTTTAATAGCGCTTGACATTGAGCAGGTTAATGACTGATTTGATTGTTTGTACCGCTTGCTCTGCGATACTAAGTGGGCCGTTGGGACCCGTGTGGGTTTCTTATTTATTAATTTTTGTTTTTTTCTCAGGGGCGCGGGGGCTAAAGAGCCAGGGGAGTTGTGTGGGGGCGGAGCTCGCGGGGAGTGGGGGAGGTGTGTGGGGGCGGAGCTCACGGGGAGCGGGGGAGGTGTGTGGGGGGCGGAGCTCGCGGGGAGTGGGGGAGGAGTGTAGGGGGCGGGGCTCATGGGGAGCGGGGGAGGAGTGTCTCCGGCTTTCAGCATTGGAATCAGAATCAGAATGAGAATAGTCATATTATCCAGGAGGAAGTTGCTTGTAGTCACAGACTGCAGAGTACACAGCTACATAGAAAAATCAATTTCTGTATCAGGGATAGCAAGATGGTGGTAAGTTAACGGAGCAGGTTTTGTTTCAACCAGCCAGTTGAGTATAAAGAGTCACAGTCAGAGTACTCAACTGGTTGGTTGCAACAAAATCTTGGTCTGGATTTGTACTTTCTGGAGCTGAACTTTCCACCTCTTGGACTTATAGTTAGTACTTCGTTGATTCCACCGTTTCTGTGCTGCTGTATTTATTGTTACATACACATCACACTATGCATGTAACCCTGTGTCCAACCCCCCAGGTCCTCAATGTCCTGTGGTCTGCACTGTAAACCCCGTGTCCAGCCCCCCCAGGTCCTCAATGTCCTGTGGTCTGCACTGTAAACCCCGTGTCCAGCCCCCCCAGGTCCTCAATGTCCTGTGGTCTGCACTGTAAACCCCGTGTCCAGCCCCCCCAGGTCCTCAATGTCCTGTGGTCTGCACTGTAAACCCCGTGTCCAGCCCCCCCAGGTCCTCAATGTCCTGTGGTCTGCACTGTAAATCTGGTGTCCAGCCCCCTAGGTTCTCACTGTCCTGTGGTCTATACTGTAAACCCCGTGTCCAGCCCCTCAGGTCCTCATTGTCCTGTGGTC